GATATATTTTATCATGAATGACATTCAGATATTACATAGTTTACATATTTCCTATTTTTGCCACCCTTAATAAACCAACAGAATCTTCATCAATGTTAAATACCGGTTTTGTGTAAATACAATGCACTGTAATTTTCTTTTCTTTTTTTTTTTTTTTTTTTTTGAGACAGAGTCTCGCTCTGTCATCCAGGCTGGAGTGCAGTGGCAGGATCTCGGCTCACTGCAACTTCCATCTCCCAGGTTCAAGTGATTCTCCCGCCTCAGCCTCCCAAGTAGCTGGGATTACAAGCACGTGCCACCACACCAGGCTAATTTTTGTATTTTTAGTAGAGATGGATTTTCACCTGTCAGTCAGGCTGGTCCTGAACTCCTGACCTCGTGATCCACCCGCCTCGGCCTCCCAAAGTGCTGGGATTACAGGCGTGAGCCACCGCGCCCGGCCAATGCTGTGTCTTTGTTTAGGGTTGGGTTCGTTTTGAGTAGTTGGCTTTTTTGTTTGTTTGTTATATTATTCTTTCTTTTTCTTCTCACTGTCTTATACAGAATCCAGTTTTCTTTGCCTGCATATTGAGTCTTTTTCACTACCTAGAGACTAAAATGTCTTTTACTTAGTCTCTTTCATTGAGATTTTAATATTCTTCTGTGATGAGTATAGTATATAGAAAATAGAATGCATTCAATATGATATTCTATATTTTCCTACATAGTTTGTCTTAAATATTCTCTGTGCTAGCTAGGTAAATTGGAGCAGTTTGTATGCAACCTCTCTGAACTTTCTTCATTGATTAAGGAGGGATAAGATTTACTTGGCAGGTCTGATGAAAATATTAGAGGGGACTCATGCCAAGTGCCCAGTGCATTGGCCAGCATATGCTTACTGTATCATTACTATAGTAGTTTAGGGTAGTGATGGTGAGGGCAATGGAGTGATGATAATAGTGGTTGGAACATGGTCTTCACAATTGCATTATTGGTCATGGCCTAAGAGTGTCTCCTACTAACAAACCCAAATGTAACTTTGTCCCTGTTATGGAACATTTAGGATGTTTTTCATGTTTGCCCATTATAAATCATGTCTCACTAAACATCTTCCTTCATACAGTTTTATTCTTCTTTTGAATGTAACATTTGGATGCGTTCCTAGGAGTAAAATTACAGAGTGAAGGGATATGTACATTCATAAAACTCTCAATAAATAAATATTGCCTGATTGCTTTTCACAAGGGTGCTATGAATTTATATTCCCACCAAAATCAAGAGAATGGCTATTTATAGATGCTTTCAGAGCCTTAGCTTATCTTGTTTCCTGTTTGAATTTTATTACATAAATTTCCCTTTAAAACTATCACACACACACACACACACACACACACACACGCACTCTTTTGTGGGGTCTTGGGGGCAAAGATGGAATGAAACTATCATTTATCACATGATTTTGATAGGAACCTGTTGTCAAGTTTCAGATGTTTACTTCTGATGATGCAGAAGGGAATTTTAATTAGGATGTGGCATTAAATAAGATCAGTTTGCGTATTGGGAATGATATTCTTTTTCAGTTATCTTTCGGTCATCTGATCAGATCAAGGAGGAAGTCTCAGCTTGGTGCTAACACACCTTTAACACTGCTCTAGCCCCTTTTTACCTGTAAAATGAAGAACTTTCCATAGGCAACAGTTTTGAGCTCAAATGTGATAGTGTCATTAGGTCTCCAGCAAGTTTATTTTTATGTTTTCCTTCTTTTTATGTAAAGTGATACTAATGTTTTATTTAAAATGATACAAAGCTTTCATTTTGAACACATTTAATGAAAAAGATGAGTTACACATAGAGCAAACACCCTGACAGTGTCACTCCAATGATTGAACTTGGGACATGCTACTTGGAGAGTGCATTCCAACAGTTGCCCCACTAATCATAATAATAGCACGTGTTCTTTGACAATACATTGAATACGAGTCTCCATAATGCCTGACATAGTTTGGGACTTTGTGATTGTCCCTTTTTCCCTATTCATTTGTGAATGTAAGGACCTTGCAGTGACCCATGAAGAGAGTTGCTTTTTATTTTTCATTTTGTAAATGTTTTTGAAGACTCTTACAAAGTATAATCATTTTGAAAATGCCTATCCATTACCCTAGAGCAAAATTCCCTATTATTGGGAGAGTATCTAAAAAAATATTCAAGGGGTACGAGTGCAGGTTTCTTCCATGCACACATTGTGTAGTGGGGAAGGGTGGCCTTTTAATGAACCCATCACCCAAAGAGCAAACATTGTACCCAACAGGTGATGTTTTCAGCTCTCGCCCTCCTCCCACCCTCCCACCTTCTGAAGACCCCAGTGTCTCTTATTCCACTCTGCGTGTTCACAAGTACCCATTGCTGAGCTCCCACCCAAAAGTGAGAATGTGCGGCATTTTTCTGTTTGAGTTACTTCGCTTTGGATAATGTCTTCCTCCTTCATCCATGTTGCTGCAAAAGACATGATTTTATTCTTTTTTTATGTTTGAGTAGTATTCTATGGCTTGTGTGTGTGTGTATATGTGTGTGTGTGTATGTGTATATGTGTGTATATATCCTTATATAAATATATATAATATATATATCCCACATTTATATATAAATGTATCTATTTGTGTGTGTATATTTATGTATACATAATATATACACATATATACATATATGCACATTTATATATATTATATACAAATATATAATATATAAATATTTATCCCACATTTATATCTATATTTATTTATATAAATATATATATTTATATAAATGTGGGATATATATATTATATATCTATAAATGTGGGATATATGTTATATATATTTATTTAAGAATATATATACACACATACGTATACACACACATATATATATATCCCACATTTTCTTTTTTTGAGACTGAGTTTCGCTCTTATTGCCCAGGCTGGAGTGCAATGGCGCAATCTCGGCTCACTGCAACCTCTGACTCCTGGGTTCAAGCGATTCTCCTGCCTCAGCCTCCTGAGTAGCTGGGATTGCAGGGATTACCAGCATGTGCCACCACGCCTGGCTAATTTTGTATTTTTAGTAGAGATAGGGTTTCTTCATGTTGGTCAGGCTGGTCTCGAACTCCCAACCTCAGGTTATCAGCCCACCTCAGCCTCCCAAAGGGCTGGGATTACAGGCATGAGCCACTGCGCCTGGCCCCACATTTTTTTTATCCAGTCTTCTGTTGATGGACACTTAGGTTCAATCCATGTCTTTGCTATTGTGAATAGTGCTATGATGAACACACATGTGCAGGTATTGTTTTGATATAATGATTCCTTTTCCTTTGTGTATATACCCCGTAGTGGGATTGCTGGGTTGAATGATAGTTTTATTTTCAGTTCTTTGAGAAGTCATCATACTATTTTTCAGAGTTTGTACTAATTTACACTCCCACCAACAGTATATAAGCATTCTCTTTTCTCTGCAGCCTCACCAATATTTGTTGTTTAAGACTTTTTAATCATAGCCATTCTGACTGGTGTAAGATGATATCGCATTGTGGTTTTAATTTGCATTTCTCTGAAGATTAGTGATATTGAGCATTTTTCATATGTCTGTTGGCCCCTCGTATGTGTCCTTTTGAAGAATGTCTGTTAATGTTGTTTGCCCTACTTTTTTTTGTTTGTTTTGAGTTGGAGTCTCGTTCTGTTGCCCAGGCTGGAGTGTAGTGGTATAATCTTGGCTCACTGCAGTGTCCGCATCCTGGGTTCAAGCAATTCTCCTGCCTCAGCCACCCAAGTAGCTGGGATTGCAAGTGCCTGCCACCATGCCTGGCTAATTTTTGTATTTTTAGTTGAGACCAAGTTTCATCATGTTGGCCAGGCTGGTCTCAAACTCCTCGCCTCAGGAGATCGGCCTGCCCTGACCTCCCAAAGTGCTGGGATTACAGGTGTGAGCCACTGCGCCTGGCCTGCCCACTTTTAAATGGGGTCATTTTTGCTGTTTGAATTCCTTGTAAATTCTGGATAATAGTCCTTTGTTGGATGCATACTTTACAAATATTTTTCCCATTCTCTAGGTCATCTGCTTACTCTGTTGATTGCTTCTTTTGCTGTGCAGAAGCTTTTTAGTTTAATTAAGTTCAAATTGTCCTTTTTTTTTTTTTTTTTTTTTGGTAATGTTTGCTTTTGAGGACTAGGCCATAAATTCTTTGTCAAGGCCAATGTCTAGAAGAGTTTTTCCTATGGTTTCTTCTAGGATTTTTATAGTTTCAGATCTTATGTTGAAGTCTTTAATTCATCTTGTGTTAATTTTTGTATATAGTGAAAGCTATGGGTCCAGTTTCACTCTTAGGAATATGATTATCTAATTTTCCATATGGGTGTTTAGCCCAACACCATTTATTGAATGGAGTGTCATTTCCCTATCATATATTTTTGCTGACTTTGTTGAAGATCAGTTGGTTGTAGGTATGTGGCTTTATTTCTGGATTCTCTGTTCTGTTCCATTAATCTAGGTTTATATCAGTACCATCCTGTTTTGGTTACTATAGCCTTGTAGTATAATTTGAAGTCAGGCAATATGATGCATCTAACTTTGTTCTTTTCACTTAGGATTTGTTATAAAACCAATTCTTTATAGGCTATATAAATCAAATAAAATTTTATATCTAAGCAAGTCCTCCAGATTCCTGACCAGGCAAGTAATCCAGTAGCTTGGCAGATTAAGAACAGTAATATGCAAACAGTGAGGGATGCATAAATCAAGACTGTCATTGTGAATAGAATGATTTGGAAGTTGGGGGTTCAAACAGCTTCATGATAGTTATAGTGAATAACAATGTCAGCTTTAGTATTATTCTAATATTGTACTTGGGTAATGCTAATAGGGTTTGATGGAATACAATGAACACTTTCCAAACAGCTGTATGCTTTCCCAACAAAGGAACTCTATCTCAGAGCAGACTGATATATCATTTCAATGGGAGATTTTAATCAATCCTTTTGTTTTCCCTTTTAGGATATATTTAAATTTGCAAGAACTTCTCCTGTCCCAAGACAAAAGAGGTCCATTGTGGTATCTCCCATTTTAATTCCAGAGAATCAGAGACAGCCTTTCCCAAGAGATGTTGGCAAGGTAAGTCACGCAAAAAACAAATTACAAAAACGTGTTTTTTATGAAAAAATGAGCGCACAGGAAGCAGACTGAGTATGACTGTCTTGGTGACAAGCTGGAATTAGTCTTCATCCCTCTATGATAAGAGACCAAATGGTTTTGTCATAAAAAGAATGTTGGAAGATCATTCATACACAAAAGAGGAAATTTGAAAGAACCAATAACAGTTTTGAATATTATGGAGATCAACATGGTAGATGATGTTGAAATTACGTAGGAAGATGTCATTGGTTGAGAAATAAGGCTCATTGTTTTTATAGATTATATTCAGGTGATCCCCAGATAGGGCCCCCTAGGATGGCGGTATGTTGATATGTGGCCTTCATTGAGATCCTCCTTTTCAAATATCTAGGTACAAGCATATCACTGGGTTAGTTTTCCAAAAACTAAACCTGATCAAGGGAGTAAAATCATCCTAACCAGATCCAGAACCAGATGTGGAAAACACTGTCCCATGAATCAGAACAATAGCTTTTCCAGGAAGAAACAGTCACCATTAAATGTGCCAAAATACTGATACTGCCTCATCAATACATTCTACGCTCTTTAAGAGAATCAACATGGAGAATCAAATTTTGAGCAGTTTGTACTTTTTGGTTGTTAGAAACAAGTGCTCAGTGTCGCAAAGAAGAACCAGCACTCAGGCAAAGAGTTTTCTCAGCAAGGCAATTTACTTCTACAGTGGGGTGCTCCTCGCACTTCTGGTCACTGAGAGAGCACACTGAACAAAAGAGGGAAGGGGGGTTTATCCCTAACACGGTTAGTCCCTGCTTCTGTGTCCTGTCCCCATTGGCTGGAGTTGGACCGCACAATCTAAACTGACCTGATTGGTTACTGTTTAAAATTGAATATGGCTAATTAGGCAGGAAGGGAGAGGCTGTCCGTTGTGGTACAAGGCATGTTTGGGCATGTCAGGGCACAGCAAAGGCGGGAAGGGTAGTTTCAGTGGGAAGAGCTGTTTCGGCAGGAGTGGCAGTTTACAGAATGGGTAGCCAGGAGTAAAGAGGAGTCTTTCCAAATGAGGAAGAGATATGAGTTACAGATTGGGACTATCAGGAGAAGTTGTTTACAGAGCAGGTAACTTAGCAGAAGGGACAAGGAAGTTGATCTTGAGAACAAAGAGGAAGGGAATCAGAAATTAAACGTTTGAAGAGGAACTTACTGTATCAGACATTGGTGAATCTGGAATTTGAAAAATGGTGGTTAGTTAAATGAATGATCTTAATGGCATTTGCTTTTGAACTGCTAGTTTATTAAGTACACCGTACATGTTGTATGCTGGACTCTAAACTTGGGGCTGGGTGTGAAGAAGCAGATAATAGAGCTAACATGCTAGTGGGAAGACAGAAAGAAGAACATTGCAGAGTATGACAAATGCTGTGAAAATCAGAACAGGAAGATGAGGAAAAAAGAGCAAATGGCAGGATGAAGGAGTAGAGGGAGGAGGGAATCTTTGCACAGATGACTGTGATGGCTTTTTGAAGGTATTGTTTGAGGGGAAACTGGAAGGATGAGAAAGGAACAGTCATAGGAATATCTGGGTGAACAGCATCTTTGGCAGAGGTAAGTTTACATGCAAAGGCCTGAAGGTGGGACAGAATAGCATGTAGTAGAGTTGCAACATGCCTGGGTGGCTGCAAGAGAGTGAACAAGGACGGCAGTGGTGAGAGTGAAGTCAGAGAGGCCAGCCTGCCCTTGGATGAGGAGTTGGGGTTTCATCGTGCATGCAGCAGGGGACCACTGGAAGATGTCTCCAGGAGACTGTGTGTTTTGAAAGATCCTCCTGGCTGCCTTGTAGAGAATGATTAGTGGTAGCAGAGCGGTAGAGAGGAGTGGAAGCAAAGAGACCCACTAAGAGGGGAGTTTGGTGGTGATCTGGACAAAGGTGACTTGGACTATTAAAAATTAGTATTGGACAGGCGCGATGGTTCACGCCCGTAATCCCAGCATGTTGGGAGGCTGAGGCAGGAGAATCAACCAAGGTCAGGAGTTCAGGACCATGCTGGCCAACATGGCGAAACCCCGTCTCAACTAAAAATACAAAAATTAGCCAGCGTAGTGGCACGCTTGTAATCCCAGCTACTTGGGAAGCTGAGAGAAGAGAACCACTTGAACCCAAGAGGTGGAGGTTGCAGTGAGCCGGGATCATACCACTGTACTACAGCCTGGGCGGCAGAGTGAGACTCTGTGTCAAACAAACAAACAAAAAAATCGATCTTTATTGCACATTGAAAGAAGTGATAATCCAGTATCCTGGTAACCACTATATTTATCATTTTAAACCCCCACTGTGCCAAAGATGCCTTTCTCTAAGCAAAAATCTTTTTCAAGAGTCTGGGATATGATATAAAGGGAAGCAGAGCTGCTCCAAAGGGATAGCCCTGTTCCCTTGGGCAGCCCTAGCCACTGTGATGATCCTTTTCTAGACAGGTTTCCCAGGAGCCCAAGATGCCAGGTGCCAAGGGACCCGAGTCCCAATTCTTCAAAGCTCTTCCCAAACAGTTTCTGAGACTCACGTTGCATTCCAGTGTTTCGGTTTTCTTTCAGATAATCCTGGGCTTCTCAACTCTCAGCATGCCTCACAATCAGCAGAGACACTTAAAATGCATATGTCAGGGCTCCACCCTCAGAGATTGATTCCACTAGGGTGGGGGTGAGAACCATGTGAGGATGTGTTAAATATCCCAGGTGATTCAGATATGCAGCCAGGGTTGCAGGACTGCTGGTCTTAAGCAATCCTCCAAAAGTGATTGTGGACCAGCTACATAAGTATCCCCTGGAAGCTTGCTAGAAATGCATATCTTCATGTCCTACCCCAAAACCACTGAGCCAGAAACTCTGGGGTTAAAGCCAGGAATCCGTGTTTTTACACAGCTTCTAGGTGATTCTGATGCACACTCAAGTTTACAGAGGGCTGACCTGAAATACGGTTTTGTCCCCTGTCCACCACTAGTACACAATACCTTCAGTTGCAATTCCATTAATTAGTTATAGTAAGGACAATCACATTTCAGTTGCCTGGAAAATCCAAGTTTACACTGGTTATCCAAATCTGTCATGTCCAGATTTAGACAATACATTATGTAGCCATCCTATAGTTTCCTTCAATTACACACAATTTCCTCCTTGGTATATTTGGGTGGGTTTTCTCACAAGCCTCTTTTCTTGAGCTATTCAATGGGTTCATAAGCATGTAGCTAATTGGGAACATTCTTTCGCAATTTTTTTTTTTTTTTTTTTTATTACGGCTTCAAAAGGCAATTTGGTTTCCAAACTGAGGACTCAACTCTTCTTAGCCCCTTATGTGTTGCCCATACTTGATCTCGACTTAGATTCTCTACAAGCAACTGCTTTTCTAAGTGTGGTAGGCTACTAACTAGACAATGTGCAAGAGCCTTCGAAACCTCTAGATGTTTTTTGTAGAATTACTGCACTGCTTTGCAAAAACTATTTATTTGTCCATGCTTTATATGCCTTCGAAGGTACATATTTTCCTTTTTGTTCCTGCTTGTTTCTATTTATTTATATTACTCTTTATATCTCCTGTCTTATCCTCATCATCTCCACCACAGCTGACAAGCTGTGCTCTGCAGAGCTGTGGAAGAGGACGTAGGTGTCTTCAGTGAGTGCTGGGGAGGCGGCGAGAAGGGAAAGAAGACCACAGAGGCCGAGCTCTGGCCTCCAAACACCACCACACTCCCAAAAAATCTCTAAGTCAGGACACCTCTAATTGTGTAAATATTACTTATTAGTCTTCAGTATAGAATGCCATTTGAAGAAGAGGTTCTGCAGCTTTAAAAGCATAAAGACGTTTGTCTTACTTTGGCTTCCCCTAGAAGTGGACCCTGAGACAAGAATTCAAATGAAGGCAGTTCATTTAAGAGGTGGGGGAAATGTTCATAATAAAATAAGGGAGAGACACAGAAAAGGGAAGGCAGCTGGGAGAGAAGCTTGTTTATGAAGCCAGCTACCCCTGTGGGTGACTGGATTGTAATCTCATGGGCTAACTTTAAAACATGGTGTGGAATACTTTGTCAGCATTAAAGCACCCCCAGGGGATGGCAATGGGATACTTTGACACAAACTGGGGTATTTCTACTCCCAGCAGTAATTGGTTGAGGACTGCTTCCAAGGGTGTAAATTCTCTAGCATATCAGATCTGCCCTGCACTCTGTGCAGTAACTCGACAGCCTGCTGAGGTTTGGAGGAGAACCTTAGACAAAAAGGATACTGTACAGCAGTCTCCAGTCTGCTGGTCTGCACTGAAGAGGTGACACATAGGGGATGTGGACAGGGCACTGATCGCTTCGGCTTCCTTACCAAAGCTAATATATCTATTTTTTTTGCATACTTCATTTCATCCTGTGCTTTTACCTCATTTCCTGCACTAGCTTTCTCACATCCTGGGCTTTTGAAACCCCCTGTACTTGCCTCTCTCTCTCCATTAAAAAGTAGTTCCTGCATCCCAGGAGGGAAAATCTCTGAAATTCAACCTAATTCATATCAACAAGCATATATTCAGCATCTGTTATTTATAAGGAACTGCTAGGGGCTGGGAATTTAATGGAGGAGAAAACAGACAGAATCATTGATCTTGTGGGATTACGAAAGAGGTGACAATATCAGCACATAGTCATTATTTGTCCAGCACTGTGCTAAGCACTTTTCATCTATTATGTTGAATTCTTATGATAACAACCACATGAGGATCATTTTCTAGCGTGCCAATGAAGGTAATGAGACTCAAGGGTGACGTAACCTGACCAAAGCCACACAGCTAGTTCACAGCAGAGCCAAGTTTTGTTTCTGCTTTTTGAGATTTCAAAGTCTGTGCTCTTAACCGCTACACTCAGAAAATACTAAGCCCATTCTGAGAATGCTCTTCCATGGAATGAAATATCTTCACTGACAACTTCTTTCAAAACAGCATTAAAATTAAGTGCAATTCTTGGAAATGCACT